TTTTTTTTTTTAATGATGTTTGTAGGGATTTGGCACCCCCTAGGGATAAAATGATTCAGAAATTTCACCTTAAATTTATACACCATAATAAGAGAGTCTGTCCTTGAGAACCTACAGTTTATGGGTAATTTCAGTTTGTAAATGCGAAGTCAGATAATGCATTTGGATGAATCATGTTTGATTCATTTTAAAGTGTTTTGAATTAATCATGAGATGTTAAAGGAATAGTTCACCCAAAGATAAAAATGATCTAGTCACACTTGTTTCAAACCCAGAAGACTCAAAGCTTAAAATATATTTTTAATGAAACTGGAATGGTTTCTGTCTCTCCACTTAAAGTCCATTCCACCGAAACAATGACGCTTCAACAGCATCATTGGTTCTTGCAGAAGCTCAAACCTGTTTGTGCGATGCACAAGATTGCTTCTTTTTGCCATATTTTTGCTTTGTGTAAATATTTTTGCTTTGCTTTTGCTCATATGTAAATAAATGCTTAAATTAAATCTTTCATATGAAGTGTCACTTTGAAAACTTGAATAAATTAAACTGATTGATTTATTTTGCATTCTTTTACAAATTCTTTCAAAGTTTTGTTGGAATGGAGGGACAGAAATCTAAAGTTTCATTTAAAAATCTTCATTGTGTTTAAAACATGAATGAAAATCTTATGAGTTTGGAACAATGCAATGAGTAATTGATGGCAATTTTCATTTATGTAAGTACTACACCTTTACATGTGACATTTTGGCTCTACATTCTGAGATGTTTGGCTCTGAATTGTGACAGTAGAACCACTGAACAGCACTTATTGTTTTGTTCCCTTTTTCAGGATAAGAATCAGGTGAATGTGAGCCAGTTGTGTCTGGTTGATCTGGCTGGCAGTGAACGCACTAGCAGAACTCGAGCAGAGGGCAGCCGTCTCCGTGAAGCAGGTCAGGCAGCAGCACAAAGAACTACTTTTATTACCTTCAGGATTTCAGGGTTATGGTTTATATGAAGACCGTATGGGTTTCTTTTTCTCACAGGCAACATCAATCAATCTTTAATGACTCTGCGCACATGTATTGAGGTACTGAGGGAGAATCAGATGTGTGGCACAAACAAGGTATGTACTGACCATACTGACCATATGATTGGTTAAAAATGTTAGAAACCTCATAGGCTCTCATGACTTTTGTGCTCCGTACAGGGCGTACAGGGACTCCAAAGTGACCCATCTATTCAAGAACTACTTTGATGGGGAAGGCAAAGTGAGGATGGTCGTGTGTGTAAATCCAAAAGCTGATGATTATGAGGAGACCTTGGTAAGCAATATTAACAGGTCAAAAGGTGCATTGTTCCACTTCAGATTTATTTTAGTTGCAGTGACATTTTGGTTTCTCATCTGTGTAGCTGGTGATGCGCTTTGCTGAGATGACTCAGGAGGTTGAAGTGGCCCGGCCTGTTGACAGGCCCATCTGTGGCTTTGCTGCTGGTCGCCGACAGAGAAACCAGGCCTTCAAAGATGAGCTTACCCACAGGCTGGAAGAACGTGGTGGTCCTATAGATGGAGGTATTTTTGTGTGTGTGTGTGTGCTTGCATATTATTATCTCTTACAATGTGCGTCAACATTAAAAATGTGAATTTTCTTTTTTTTTTTTTTTTGGTAATGTTAATTATGTGATGTGTTCTGTTACAGAGTCTCCAACAGTATTGAACCAACTACTTCAGTCGTTCCATCCACTTCCTCCCTGTGAGATCTCTGGCCCTAACGATGATGTTACACTGCCCAGACTCATTGAGGCCCTGGAGAAGAGACACAAGATTCGACAGATGATGGTTCAGGAGTACAATAAAACTGGTAAAATCATCACTTTATTGAGAACTGTTTAAATGGTCTTTCAAGCGCAACATTTTTGCAAATTTCTGGTGGCAATTCTGTTTCAGCCAACATGCTGAAGTCTGTGCTTCAAGAGCAAGACAGCAACCTTCTCTCCAAGGAGAACTTCATCCAAGAGCAACGTGGCCGGCTTGGTGAAAAGGACAAAATGATCCAAAACCAGAAGAATGAGATTGATCGTCTGGAAAAGAAATCCAAAATGCTGGAGTACAAGGTATTTGCACCATCACGGAATCGGGATAAAAAATATATAATATTTCACAATATTACTATTTTTGTTGTATTTTTGATCAAATGCTGCCTTGGTGAGCATAAGAGTCTCCTTGAAGATTAAATTTTACAAACCCCGAACTTTGAACGGTAGTGTTTGTCTACACAGTCTGGCATTCACAACACAATTTAAGCTATGATAATTATGGTTTGAATGACAACTGTTTTTTCCAACGAATCTTGACTAACAAAAGTGTTGAATGTGGCCTCTGTAATGCATCTTCAATGTTACTTTGTATGCAGATTGACATTCTACAGAAAACCACCAACATCTATGAGGAGGACAAACGATCTCTACAGCACGAACTGGAGAGCAGAGAACAGCGGCTGCAGAGGGAAATGTCTGAAAAGAGACGCATGGAAACGCGCATGCAGGGCATCGTCACTGACGCCAAGCTTAAGTGGGAGAAGGAGTGTGTGAGTGTCTTCCCATAGACCATATATGTGAAAAAAGATGCTTTTTTTTTTTTTTTTTTTTTACAATTTAATTTGTTAGTGGTGTGATACAGTGCAAGATTTGTTTGTTTGTGCTCTCAAGGAGAGGCGGGTAAATGCTAAGCAGCTGGAAATGCAGAATAAGCTGTGGGTGAAGGATGAGAAACTCAAACAGCTCAAAGCCATTGTGACTGAGGGAAAGACGGAGAACCGGCAGCCACAGCGGCCCTCCAGAGAAAAGGACAAAGTGCCTGCCAAGAGATCCGCTTCCCCGTCGCCTGTTCCTGTACGTTTAACTGACATGCGTTTCTAGACCGCCTGACCCTGAGATTTATGCCTAACCTAATCCACAAACCTCATCTTTATTTGTCCATTCATGGTCTGCTATGCTCTGTCTGTGTGTGTATAATAACCCTGAGCACCCCCCCCCCCAGATTCTCACCTGTTTTTAATGCCATTGAATGCTTTTTTTTATTTTTTATGTACTGGTGTGTGTTGCATGCAGATCATGTGTGTACTAATCTCATGTCGCTTACAGTCTCTCTACAATGGCTCTCAGTCATCCCTCTCCTCCCTGGAGCCCATATATAACTTCTCTCAGACGGTCAGGCCAGATCCTCACTTCCCCAGACCAGGCAGTGTGTCTGTGGCCTCCTGCATCTCCGAGTGGGAGCAGGGTGTCCCGCACTCTCGTAGGCAGGGTAGCCAGTCGCCTCCAGACAGTAGGAAGAGAGCTCAGGGCCTTCCCGACAGTCTTAGGAGGAGGAGAGGCAGGTGTTGGGCCAGAGAGGTGCCTGTCCAGCCAGCAGAGGTAGACCTAGAGGAAACGGGTCACTGGGTCAGTAGAGTATCTTGCTGTAGTTGTAGGTAGAGCTTCAACAAGACATTAATATAGACTCATTGTAGCCTAATATAGACCTTTTGATCCGTTTCTCAGCTGTACTAATTATGACCCAGAAGATCTGTATGTAAAATAAGGTATTATGTGTGCTGCTTATTTTAACCATGTAATGGCTTTGTTTTGCACTTTTAGACAAATAAATTTGAGTTTTCATATTCTCAATGTCATCTCTTACTCCTGCGCATAATTTAACTTGTCTAAAGTGTATGAAAACAAATTGAATTATGTCATAGGTTGTGTAAAAGTTGAAATTGTCAACATTTACAGCTTTAATATCTGCGTACTGAAAAGCAATTTTTTTCTTTTGGAGCTTGTTTGAATGGGAACGTACCTTCAGCTTTTTTCTTTCCTCTTAACAGCTTGGTACGTTTAGTTTGTGCTTCTGTAGAGATTGACTAACACACTAACACTTCAGCATGCTTAAGAACCGCCTTCTATTTGTCTTACTGTGCTTGTGTTTTAATTGAATAGACTGGGCCACCGGTTCGGCCTCTACACAGACGCTCGCACTCCGCAGGTGGGGAGAGGTGGGTTGATCATAAACCCACCACTAACGTGGACCTGGATACAGTTCTGCAGCCAAACATCCCCAATGCCATCAAAGTGAATGCTCCCAATGAGAAAGCTCTGTCCAAGTGTGACAAGTACGTTCTGACACACCAGGAGTTTGCATCAGATGGAGAGATTCAGACCAAGCTAATCAAGGTAGCTTCCTTTTTCTAGTGGTCTTCCTCTGGCTGATTTTGGTTGTTAGCTGAAGCTAAAGTTTTTTGCTCTTTATCAGGGTGAAGTGTTCAAAACTAGAGGTGGAGGACAGGCTGTTCAGTTCACGGATATCGAAACGCTTAAGCAGGAAAACCCTGTTGCGGCCAGGTAATTGTATGACCACCAATACAATTCAAACTTGGCAGCATGTATTATTTCTAGGTCTCACAGTGAATGCTCTGTGTTGTTGTGCTTTTTGATTGTAGCCGTAAGAGACGATCATCAGAGACTGGCCCGGATGGTGAGCCTATGGAAGGAAACTGGACTGATGTGGAGACGAGGGTAAGATACTGATATCCTCTAGCCAGGCCCAGGCACTGCACACTTAAAGACTTAATTGCCCATATTTAAAGGTCAACAACTACTTTTTTTGGTATTTTGAATGGGTGCGTGTTTATGTATTTTATAATATAAATATAAATGTTTGTTTCCTAACCCGTCTCTTGTCTTTATTATCTAGTGCTCTGTGGCAGTGGAGATGAGAGCTGGCTCAAACCTAGGACCTGGATACCAACATCACGGATATCCAAAGTAAGCTTTTTATTTGCGTACAGTTTCACTTGTCTCCAGTCACACTGGTGAAAACCAGCTTTTTAAAAAAATGTGCCTCCCTTTTATTTTGTAGACGCAGAAAGCCTTGAGACTGCTCTAGTATTGCCATCACAGCAGAGTCCTTTCCTCTCGAAGCCTCTTATCACTGTGTGCAATAGCAAATTCACTTTATAATATTTAACTTTTTTTAAATGCTTTTATGGAAATTCTTTTTATAGAAGACTACACAAGTTCACCAAAGCTGTTTTTGTACTGCATTTTCTACCAGGGTGTTGCCATGTAAAATTCACATTTGGTGTAAGTGTGGGTCTGGGTGGGTTTCCAAACAAAGTGTTACAAATGTTTTGTTTTCTAACTGTCAAGCACATTAGGTATTTGTGTATTTTTTTTATATATATATATATATATATATATGTGTGTTAATGTATACTCTCTTGCATTTGGGCAGTTAGGACAGTCAAAGCATTTGCTGGTGTTTCTTTAAAAATCCTTTAGTAAAAGTCATTTTCATGACTTTAGTAGGCAGCACCTTGGAAAAGCACTCTTTCCATGTAGTTTCACTTGTATGATATTGCTGCAGACAAAACTGTTAATAAACAGCATGTGATATACTTGTTTGGTTCATATAGTGGATTCTTTTTTACATTAGCTATTCTGTTTTTCATTTTGGCCCTTTTGTAATGGTGTAGTTCTCTGAGCACTCAATATGGTTCCATAAGGAAGCAGTAGATGGCAGCAGTGTTTAAAATATAGCGGGCCGGCCATGGGTAGTATTATTGTTTCATGTAGACAATGGATACTTTAAGATGAAGTATGAGACTTGTGAAGTAAACCGTGAAAAAAAGGAAAAAATCAGAATGGAATGTTTTTGTCATCAAGGTGTAACTGTCATCATGTAAAAGGTGTGACTTAATTTCTTAAGAGGCATTTCACGCTAAATAAAGTGAATCTTATATGCATAAAATACTGGCCAAGAAATTAGCTTTAGCAATTTTATTATTTTTATTTTTTTTAAATGTTATTTCCATTACAAAATATTTTCATAAAATATCCATAATCTGCGATGTGGTGGAAATGTCATGTTTAATTGTCCGTGTGTGCAGTGACTATTAGTAGACAGTGTTTTAAGAGCTGTTTAGTCCACAGCCAGTAGTTGAAGAAACTCTTATGGTACCCTACTGACTTTACTGTGACCTACAAGGACCCATGTAAGACTCATTAAAAACATAAGCGCAAGAAAGTATTAAAATTACTTATGTCAGTGGATGAATATTTAATTAAATGCATTAGTTATTAGCTTGTAATTCTGCTCACAAAATATCTTTTCGTCGCCTCTGCCTTAATGAGCAACAACATGCACGTCATTATTATAATAGTCTAAAGTCCAGTCCAAAAGAATTAAGTAGATTTTTCTTATGATTAAATTAAGTTGATAATTTGATAAAATTGTATTTATTAAATAATGCATCACTGAAATACATTAAAATCCTTAATTCACACAGACCTGATGTGAATGTGCCAGACATTGTCACCAGTGTGTTACTGAAATCATGCACTGTTGTTTGTCCATGACCACAAGTGACATGAGTATGACTAAAACAGATTCTAAAAGCTTAGCTATTTGTTAGCACTTGATTTGGCCATTTCACCCCATTTGGCACTAAAAAAAAATAAAATAAAACTTTAGAACTGTTTTCTTTGTTGGAATTTGAGTCGTTGAGCTCTGTGTTTGGATGGTGCCATGCTTCCCTTTTGATGAAATATTTAATACGGTATCAATTTCACAAAGACATTGGATCAAAATAAGAATCGTTTAACATGAAACAGTTCACACATCTCCCATATATGATATTATGAACACAAACATTTATGCACGTTATGATGGTATGAATGAGTTATTCATTTGTTGGATCAGTTGCAGAATACACACTAAAATCACCAGTTTCTGAGGAAAATGAAGCTCCCGCCTGAGAGTTCAACAGTACTTCACACACTAAGATTGCCTTTAGTATAATAACTAAACGGTTAAAAGGTTGTAAATGGTTATTAACAAATGGTCATTGGCTCTAGTTTCCTTCCATCAAGCTTTCCAAAATGTAAGACTCCAGTCATCCTGCATGTATGTTATTGTGTTCTTTGGTGGGTTACGGTTGGTTGTGTTTGGTTAGGAGTAAGATGTTAGAGGGTGATTGAGTGTTTGCTGCTTTGAGCAGAAGCAATTTTGTATCAGGATAAAAAGTGTGTCTGTGCGTACAGGTCAAGGGGATCGGAGCGGCAGCAGTTCTGCTGAAGTACCTGAAGTGGACCATGTCTAAAGAGTTTGGAGCCCAGACATTCCATTTCAAATGAGGCAAACTTCCTCCAAAATATTTACCCGATATTTCAACTTCCTTCCTGGATTCACATTTTTGATTAAAAAGATTGCTTACAAGGACTGAACTGCAAATTTAATTTCGAAAGAATTTTTACCACTCATTCCAACAGCAAGCTAGTGGACATTATGCAAAGGTTTTTCTACTGACTCGAGGGTGTTTTTGTAAAAAACATGGGCCCTGTTTCTCTCTCTATTAGCTCCACAGCCAAATCCTGATGGTTTTGGTCCTCATCTGCTCCTCTGACTCTATTTCAATTTGGAGGCACTAGAGATTGACCAACATGGAGCGCCTCCAAGAGAGGGTCAAGGGCTCCAAGCAACGAGCAGACATTAAACTCACTTGTGCAAGCCATCAAGTGCTCTACTTTTTGACCATACGCAGTTCGATGAGCCACACTACAATATAATCATTTGGCTCGGCTGGCAATGGCTCTGGAGCGAGAACGTTATGCTATGATAGAGCTTTAGATTACTGCATTAGGATTATGATCCAATGAAGTGAGAGAAAGAATAAGAGAGAGATGCATGAGCAATGACTAGAAGACAACCACTCAGAGAGCACCTCGCTTGAAAATAGCAATTTCAAGCAAATAAGCACTGATTGCTCACTTATGCTCTGGTGTGAAAGGTACGATTAGCACTGTAAAAAGCCTTCACTATTATGGTGAGCTTATTGATTTTTGCATGTTGTAAAGCAATTTTATGATAGTTGCATGTAATGTTTCCTTCATTTAAAAAAAAATACTCATTAGTAAATTGATCATTTTAAATGAAGGAGATTGTCTAATGGGGCTGATGTGTTGCGATTACATGAGTCTACTACTCACTTTATCTCAGCAATCTCCTGTTACTGTAACTTTCATTTCTGGAATAAATGAATCACGGCTGACAGCAAATATCAAATATTGCAAACAATCAAACAAATAAATAAAATACATGGGGAAACATGGTGAAAAGCTCATTAAATAAATACAATGTGTACCTTTAAAATAAATAATCCCTTTGATACTCAATGTTGCTTTAAATTTAACCTTGCTAATAGTTTATTTGGTCTGATAGGTTTCTCACTGCAAAAACAAAACTTAGAATTGTATATTTTGTCTAATTCTTGTGTGTTGTGATGTATTCTTAATTTTATTCATCACAAATTGATTGGATGGTTAAAAATGGGCTTTACATAAAAGAGTAGAGTAAGACCTGAATGTGTGTTTCCTAAAACAATGCAGAAATAACAAGCCAAGGGACTTAAGTGGAAGAGAAAAATGATTTCAGCAGAAGAGCTCTTATTTTTATATTTTGATTAAAGATTACCAGGATAAAAGGTTGTTTGCAATAATGTGCACAAATGAATCACAATAGAAAGTAAATTATTTTGTGTTGACTTAAGAAAAGAAATGGAAGTCCTTGAGAAATTAAATTTCCTATGATAAAACAAATTGGACCATGCCAGAGAACTACTTTCCAGAATGCAACCATAGTTATCTGGCTCATTTCTAAGGAAGGAAGTTCTTTTAACAAAGTGAAAGTGATTCTCAATTTAAGTGCTTAACCTGCAGAATACACAATAAAGAAATACTGGAGAACTGCCTGCTTGAATTCACACTAATTAGTCAGCTTGGCTTTTCAAAATAAATGATTGCATGGTTTATTTGCTATATGGATGATTAATTCCTGCAAAGAGTTTTTTTTTTTGTCCTCTGTGAGTCTATCGCTTGCCGCAGGAGAAACGGACACAAAATAATTTAGAGTATGGCAGACTGTCTAATGAGCTTCTCATCATTTCTTCACCACACCGAACCATTACAGATGCATATTTCTTCGTTTATTCTGTGCATATACACTCAGGAAAAAGTACAAAAGCTGTCACTGGGGCGGTACCTTTTCAAAAGGCACACCTTTGTACCTAAAGAGTCCATATTAGTGCCTAAAAGGTACAAAAGTGTACCTTTTGAAAAGGTACTGCCCCAGTGACAGCTTTTGTACCTTTTTTTTCTGAGAGTGTATTAAATAGGATGGTTTCATTATAAAAATGGTGATTATCTCTAAGATGGACACCCAACTTAATATATGATATTTAGCACCTAGATACGACCTCTACAGCCCTGAATGTCAGCAGAGACCATGTCAACTAAATGCGCCCCAGAGACAGATCACCTGTGAAGACCTCGTCACCTCATCGGCACAAGACCACAGGAACCAGTCAAGTCCTCTGCACAATCTGACCTGTGCTGCAGCCTGGAATTAAACCACGCCATGCTAGTTTTGTCTGGCCAGAGGAGAACTGGCCCCCCCAACTGAGCCTGGTTTCTCCCAAGGTTTTTTCTCCATTCTGTCACTGA